AATTCCAGTTTATCTGGATTTTAATATTGTGATGCCATTATATAGTGGTTAGGCTGTGTAATCGGGTGGGGAATGCTTGCGATAACATTGAGCCCTTTATCCATACCGAGCTTGGAAGACTTGTTGGAGCCTTTGGCGGTTGTCATCATCGCAACATACTGTTCTAGTACGTTGAAAGGAAAAAGTAGATCGCCAAGTCGCTGTTCCTCATCCCATAACCAGCGACCACTGGTGTACTACCGGAATTCTGTACATGACTATCGCGTGTTGACTGGGCTCATGCTCTATGAATAATTGGAGAGTCTGAGAGAAACTCCCGAGAAACTGGTAGACTGGTTTGAGTCTCTTGAGCATGCTCTAGAAGACTTATGGCAGTGGAACTAATGACCCTTTTTACTTAGTCTCTGATATTAGGAAGACTGAGCACAAGGAAGTCAGTTTCTCTGAATTTTGCGCAGCCATGTCGGGCCGCAGCGATACGATCAGATCAGTGAACTCCATTAGTGAGACTGTTCTAGTGAGGACGTTCAGGCCCTGACGTGTAGAAATCCAGAGGCACGCGACAGTTCAACCTTCAGAGCATGAGTCATTAACAGGTCATATCTGAGCTAGATAATTATCGAATATCGATTTTATCTGGAGTTATTTTTGGGCATAATTACCGACAGATCACTGCCTAGGTTGAGATGAGGTGTTAGTGTGACAAGTGCGGAATATATACAGTCGTATAGCCTCGGTCCGTTCTTCGTTCCACACTCGATTCAATCCTCATCATGCAATAAGATCAGCGCCTCGTTTGATCCACACCTAAGTTAAGCAGTATTTAGTGCCTATAAGATTATCCGAGACATGTAGTACTTGCATCTCGGACGAAGCTAAGCAAAAGCCGAGAGATCGCCGCTTCGGCCGAAAGCAAGCATCTCGGACCCGGAGATGGACTTACTCCCTTGTTGTTCCACTTTTTCAGGACAAAGTTCTGTTTATGGAAACTGTGAGTCGTAAAGAAAAACATATTTAGTCCAGTCTGCACCAGCGATACGTGGTGCATCTAGCACGCACATCTATGTCTTGTTCTCAGGTCTTCAGTTTCCGCAGTCTTACTCCTGCTAGATTCAACCCAACCTTGAACCGCTTTGCTTCTTCGTATCGCAAGATGGGTGAACACATTGTCGACAGATATCAACTCCAACCACTGCGTTCAGACTCTGTACCGTGGCGTCGACAGCCGGGGCAACAGGTATTATGGATTGGCTGCTCGGATAGCGGGTGCGATGAACTGGAGAGCTTGGGCTTGCCTTCAGATGAGGTCTTCGAATATAGGAGTTTGGGAAACATGATGGTGGACGATCTATCTTGCAACACAGCCTTGCGATATGCTTTAGACTCGTTGAAGGTGAGTTCGTTGTTCCTAGGAGAGGGTGCGACTAACATCAGTCAGATCCGGAATATCGTGATATGCGGACATTACGGGTGTCATATTGCAAATGGAGAAGTAGAAACCACCCTGCAGAAACCTTGGAGCAGGTAAGCAATCCATGTCTGTTCCTGTAGTTTATACTGATGAATAAGTATACTTGACACTCTACGTTCGACTCATCATCACACCCTCGACAGTCTGACAGGGAACGAACGTGACCGCGCGGTGGTGGAGTTAAATGTCATTGAGCAGGTACACTCGTTAAGCCAGTGTCCTGAGGCTGCAGAGGCATTGCAGAAGGACCAGCTAAATATTTGGGGCATGGTCTACGACAAGGCGTCGAAAACAGGTTACCAGTTAATAGAAGCATGACGGTGATCAACTATTTGACCGTCTTTTAGAAAAAGAAAATGAGAACTCATAGATACCGTGTTACAGAGGGAACTTGGCTGTAAATCCATTCGAGTAATGCCGTTGAGACTTGAGAGCTTTCTAAGCCAGTTGGCAGCAAGCATGCCTCAGGCATATGTATTTGGGCCACAGAGCGCCCCACGATGAACGCCACATTCTTTCCACATCAATCAGGCCATCTCCGTACCCACAAATATTCGTGGCGTAATTCCTCCAAAACAATCTGGAGAATCATTTTCTTTTTTTCATATCTTATCTGTCCACTATGGAGCCTTCCGACAAAAAAGGGGACTCTGTCCCACAGTATCTCAAACAGTCGCATGAGCGTATCTTCGAGAACAATCGCGCCTGGGTCGCAGCGAAGATGAAAGAAGACCCCGCTTTTTTCGAGAAGCTTTCTGCGGGGCAAACCCCCGAATATCTGTAAGAACACAATGGTTCACCTATCTTTCCATACTGACAAGACAAGGTATATCGGCTGCAGTGACAGTCGCGTCCCAGCTAACGAGATCATGGGTCTTGAAGCCGGAGAGGTCTTCGTCCATCGGAACATCGCGAATTTGGTCCCCAACACGGACCTCAACGTGATGTCGGTCATCAATTACGCCGTCCGCCATCTGCGGGTTAAGCACATTGTTGTCTGCGGCCACTACCACTGCGGTGGTGTTAAAGCCGCGCTGACGCCCTCCGACCTGGGACTTCTCAACCCGTGGCTTCGGAATGTGCGCGACGTGTACCGTCTGCATGAGCGGGAGCTGGATGAAATTAAAGATGCAACTGCCAGGTATAAGCGCCTCGTCGAGTTGAATGTCGTCGAGTCATGTAGGAATGTGATCAAGACGGCTGCGGTGCAGCAGAGCTTTCATGAGCGGCAGTTCCCCGTTGTGCATGGATGGATATTTGATGTGGAGACTGGTCTTCTGAGGGACTTGGAGATTGATTTTGAGGAGACCTTGCGGGATATCAAGAAGATATACAATCTTGCGCCGGGCTCTTAGCTCTCGCTTTGCAGCATACACGCACTAGGTATCATTTTCAGTGTGTCACGCCAGTCAGAATGTTCAAATCCAGTGGTAAGACTCGTAACAGTAAGAAGCTTAGAATTTGTATGCGGAAGTAACCTTGCTTGATAAAAGTCCAACCGCTGTCACGGCCACGACACCGAATCTATAACTTTGCCGCTAACGTAGACTTCCACAAAGAGCAATAGGGGCGTGAGAGAGAAGAACAGACCAGTTGACTAGAAGGACATTGTCAAGCCAGTGGGGCCTACTCAGGCAACCATTGAATACTAATAGAGTAGGCACGCTGTATTGTCACGTATGTTTGCAATAGGAAGGAGGACCATGGCGATGGCACATCCAGGCAGGCTGCTATTCTGCATATTCGAGTGCTAGGTCAAACAAGAATTATCTTGTGTCACTTCACCACCTGTGAACTGACGGGAAATCGATCAGCAGGTCGCCAAATACGGAATGCAAATGCCGATATTTGAAGAAGTGTATCTAAATTCCTGGGCTGCATCTGAGACACTCTACCGAAGCGATGGTCTGCATCATGCATAGCGAGCGCTCTACGCCAACCCCGGCCAATTATACTGAAGTCTGATCGTCCATTACATTGATACTACCCAGTTTTGTGGGGAGGATAACAGGGATGGCCTGCATGCATATTGTCATGGCGGCACAGCCTACTTCACTTATGCATATGAGCCTTCAGTGATTGGGTCCAACTCGTTAAAGACATTCTCGAGGTCGTATTTCCTCGTGACCTCGAGGAAGCGCGCAGCATTCAAGAAGAATATTTCTTTGGCTGACTTTCCAGCCTCTAAAATCATTCATTCAGTGTGTGAGCAGTACAGAAGTGTGCTAGAACTCACCTGTAGTATACCAAACAAAGTTAGATACCAAACTTCTCCAGCTCTTGGCCGACGCAGCCCATTTCCTCTGGACAGAGTTACTGCATTTTCTTCCACCACGCGAGAATCTCATCATCGTCACCAGCGCTCAGCCACCAAGGAAGCATCGACGCAAGGAGGTGCTTGCTTCGCTGAGGAAACGCAGTCTCCGTAATTCGTACCCGGGATAGTACCTCAGGATCGATAAAGTCAATGTCGATTGTGCTATGGATCATCTCTAGCTAGGCTTGAACCTGCTTTACAAGCGCTTCCATTACCTTCTCAACAGTCTCGGGCTGGATAGCTGGGGCGAACTGCATGCCCAACAGCTTCTCGGAACAGCCTAGAGTGCATATCAGGGTGTACCAATCTCAGTGCAGAACATAACCATACCAACCTCATGAAAACTTGGAATACATTCAAGTCAACATTCTAAAATGTTCAGGCGAAGAAGCGCACAGAACCAAATCCCGTAAAGGGGGCAGATGACCCCCTCTGGGGAGAAGGTGCTTAGATGAACGGGTGCATTCTACCAATCCGAGAGACACTAGTCCAAAGTCCGCAACCAAATGAGAAAACTGCATAATTATAACCGAAATTGGTTGCACAAGATCTCCCACTTTAAAGTTTGTGAAGATGGACCAGTGTAACCACAAGTCAGCTTATCCCGTCGTCCGTTTGCGTACTAAGTGGATTGCGGAGTATACGTCGTCGTTCCAGGCTCCAGAATGCTTTCCCGAGATTGGAGAACCCCCAATGAAGTCTAAATCTTCCAGGCGCAGAACAATACCGGGATTTGTGCCACCACAACCAACTTGTTCTTGGGACCCAAGAGGCGAGTGAAAGCTATCTTCGCATACTACCATACGAATTGCTTGCCATACTCGCTCCCTGTGCCCTCTTGATCGGCCAAAACATGACGTAGAGTCACCCTCTACTTCTCGTTGTTGAAACCACTGTATACACCTTGCCAACTTTCGGATCGAACAGCGTGTATCGCCACTGGGTTGAAAAACGCTGCAATAAACTATATGGTGACATCAATCCTCTTCCGCTGCAAGATGACGCTGGAATTCTTCTGACCAGGTATCAGTCAAACACAGATGCCGAACAAAGCTTCTCTAGATGGATATAAAGCAATCGCCTCGCCCTCAGCCGTCTCACCATCAGAAACCGTGTCCCAAGGCTTCATTCTGCATTGAATACCAACCCAAGGTTGTCAAATCTCCAATTGCAACCAGATACAATCCTTAACACTCTGTCAGAGCCGTCGAAATGGAAGCAATTCTTGTCCAGAAAGCCAATGCGGCCCCCAATGCTACTGCTGTTGTGGATGGTGACCGCAGCGTTAGCTACCGCGAACTAATCGCAAGGGCTGATGTGCTTGCTGATCTACTAGACCAGCAGTCTCTCGAGCCTGAAAACCCTGTCTGCATTCTGGCCGACGCTGGACTCCCCCAAATCCTGGCTCAGGTTGCGGTCCTTCGTGCAGGAGGGAGCTGTGTCCCTATTGATCCGGCTGTGCCCGCGGATCGCCTCAAGGGCATGCTGGAAGACTTGGACACCACGCATCTCATCGCGGACAAGGATCACGCTCATCGTGCAGCGCATCTAAGTGCTATCCACGTTGAAATGGCACTCGAAGCGCATATCACTTTGGATACGGACGCTGAGATTGCCTTGCGCGCAGGCCGTTCAGATTCTCATCGCAGCCATATCGTGTTTACCTCTGGCTCGACCGGCCGACCCAAGCCCATCCAAGTTCTCAGCAGCAGTATCCTCCATGCTATCAAGAACTTCCCCACCGGCTCGCTGCATCCCTCAGACCGGATGACAGCCCTCATCACCCCGGGATTCGATCTGTCCATCTGCGAGATGTGGGAAGCACTGCTCGCCGGCGCGACTATCGTTCGAGTCCCTGATCTTGTGCGTGCGGATCCACTTGCCTTGCAGAGTTTCGTGCACGAGCACAAGATCACGGTTATGATTGTGCCAACAGCCCTGTTTCATGTTATCGCGCTCACGGCACCCGCCACCTTTGGCGGACTGCGACATGTCATTGTCGGGGGTGAGGCGGTCAGCTCCAATGCTATGCGCAAGGTGCTTGAAACCTCACCTCCAAAGAATCTATGGAATGGTTACGGTCCCGCAGAGGCGACCATTTATGTAACGATGATCCGCGTGGATGAAGACGAGGTTCAGCGCCCTCGCATTGGTATTGGGCGATCTGTCGGAGACACGAGGATCTATCTCCTAGATGACAATCTAAAGCCCATTGTCGAGCCAGGGCATACTGGGGAGATCTGTATTGCAGGACCCCAGGTGTCGCCAGGGTATTTGAACAGACCTGAAGAGAACGAGAAGAGTTTTATCCATATAGACGCACCCACATTGGGTGTCTCTTCTGATCAGCCGGTCCGGCTTTATCGAACCGGCGATCTCGCCCAGTGGAGAGACAACAGTGGGCTCCTCGATTACATCGGCCGAGCTGATGACCAGGTCAAGATATCGGGGTATCGAGTAGAGCTGGGGGACATTGCATGCTGCATTGAGAAACACCCGCAGGTCCACTCGTGCGTGGTCAACTACGTTCAGAAAGGCGACGTGGACTGTCTCGAAGCCTACGTCATTCCGGCCGACTGGGATAGTCATTTCCCATCCGACGAGCTGATCGATTGGGTGAAACAGAGGTTGCCATCCTACATGGTGCCACGCATGGTGTACAAGAAGCGTAGCTTCCCCTTATCCGCGAATGGAAAGGTTGACAGGAGGGCACTTCAGCCAGACAAGGATGAGCAGCCATGCGACGGAGAAGAAGGACGCCATCCGCAAAAAGATACAACCGAGGACACAGTGATGGTCAATGGCGGTAATGGGATGGAGGACCTGGTCGACTGGCTTGCATCTACACTTCAGGAATACCTCCCTGAATCGGAGATTACTCCCACCGACAACATCTTCTCCCATGGATTGAGCTCCCTCCATGCCGCTCGACTCATCGGACGGATCAGGCAGGACCGCGGAAAGAGCATCACCCTGGCCCAGCTCCATCAAAACCCAACGATCGATGGTCTTGCCAAGTTTTTGTCCAGCTCGGACGACAAGACTACTGACCTACCCAGCTTGGAGCGATGCGTCCGGGATTCCAAGCACGTAGATACTGATCTCCTGCCCCCGGACTGGCAGGCAGAGAACGAAGGTCGCGTGTTCCTCACCGGTGCCACAGGCTTCCTCGGTGCGCATATCCTCCATCAGCTCTTAGCAATACCATCAGTCCAGAAAGTGGCCTGCCTTGCACGAGGCCGGGGTAACCTCAGTGCCAGCGCTCGTATCCAGCAGACGCTGGAAAAATTTGACCTCTGGGATGGCCGGCTGGAAACTACCCGGAAGATCGTGGTCCTAGAGGGTGATTTGGGGGATACCACCCTAGGGCTGGGGGAAGACCAGTTCAAGTGGCTTATCGACTGGGCAAGCGTCATCTTCCACGTCGGTGCCCGGGTCAACTGGTGCGAGCCGTACGAGGCGCACTATGTGCCTAATGTTGTGGGAACACGAAACATCATTCGTGCTGCGATGTTGGGCCGTCGCAAGGCCCTGCACTATGTCTCCTCGATCGACGTCTGGACTGTCACTGGATTCATTAACAAGGTTGACCGCGTCTATGAGGACGAGCCACTAATGCCACACGTGAATGCTGTCCCGTACGATACAGGATACTCGGCCAGTCAATTCGTTGCCGAGGAAATCGTGCAACGAGCGCGAGCCTGTGGTCTACCGACTGCAATCTACCGGCCTGGTTTTATCATTGGCCACAGCGAAAAGGGTATTGCAAATGAGAATGACTTTTTCTCCCGGCTGATCATGGGCAGCATCCAGAGTGGCTATTTCCCCCATCTCCCCACCCAGCGCCTGGAGTATGTGACAGTGGACTATGTTACCGCGGCTATTCTACACATTGCGTCCAGCTGGGAGAATCTTGGTCGAGCATACCACATTGTGCCGCCGGACAGGTCCGTGTCAGTTGACTACGACCAAAAGTACAGAATGCTGCGCGAAATCGGATATCCTGTGCAGATGATCGACTACAAAGAATGGGTGGGGTATATCCGTGACTCGCCCGAGAATGCACTGGAATCGATGATGCCGTTGCTGGATGAGGCTGTTTATGAAGACCTCAGCAGGCTGCAGACGAGCAGAAACACTCCTGTCTACGATCCAACGAACACGGCACGCGCGTTACAAGACCGACCAGATATCAAGTATGTCGCTCTCGATGCGAATTTGCTGCAGAAGTTCATTCACAATTGGGTGAAGCGAGGACAATATCGTCTCGACCTTCCTTGTAAAGGCTGTTCTGATGGCGAACCGATGTGAGTAGACATAGAACCGGGAAAGAGCTGACTCCATAATGCCTCGTATGTCTCTTCAAAGTTTGAGAATTATGCCTAAGCATGGAGAGGAAGCATCCACATTAGTTCAAATATGAGTTTCACTCTAACTTCATCAGACGAACTGATTATTTGACACACCATATGCGAATTAGTCCTGGCCACAGGGACTCAAGAAACATCTAGATCGACGTATCAATGGTTCGACATTAGATAGTCTCGTTTTTAGCCATTTTAAGACAGCGTGCATTGATAGCCTTCCTCTAACTCTTTAAACTTGGCACCTCACACTCTTGGGCGATCTCATCACCAAAGGACCGCTGCCATCTATATTCTCCGCAGCCCCTGAACAGTCTCCAGAGCTGCGCAGGTCATCAGTCGCTTCATCCACATGATGGAGTCTGGTTCTTACCTAAAGAAATCACAGTTTCCGTTGGAAGTGACGAGAAAGCTGTAGCTTTGACAGAAGTCAGTCACCTTGTATGCTAATGGACCGGACATGCCATACTTCTTCCCGTTGGCTAACTGAAGCTGTTCACAAATGCCGTCTTGAGCCTGAACATGCGCGCTTTTCCACCGGGTCATTCCGCTGGGATTAATGTTTGTGTATTCCAAGGTGACAGGAGTGTAGTTGTGACCTGAAATAGACTAAACAACCAAAGATAAAGCTTCATCAGTAAAAGGGAGCTTGAAAGCTTTCCGCCGTATTCATACTGTATCTTGGGCCGTGACCCCCATAACAAACGCCAAGGCTAAAATGATGTTGCTCGAGTGCATTTTGAACTTTGTGAGAACACGGACGGATTTGAGTTATCTAGTATGCAAATGACTCGGATAATGTGACTTGATAACAGGCGAGAAAGAGACGACATTATATTTATAGGCAAATCAAACTGCTGATGTTATTCCAACATGACCTGTATCAAGCAAGGCATATCAACTGAGAGATTTTGGCATCCCTTGCTTAATCGACTAAATTCCATTCAATAATCTCGGGACAAGTTTGATTATGCAGGAAAAGAAAGGACGCGCAGATCCGCATCAATAAAGTCCCACCTAGAGAGCAGCAGTACTGAATTCATATCAATAATAAGCGATACAAATCTTGTAGTGAGTTATGGCAAGTTGTAGGGCCAAAGGCAAGCCAATGAGATGCATCACACCCCTTGTATTCTTGAGCTAGTATCCAGCTAGCGGCCGCTGGCTTTTCTGATTCTCATAACTACTAGATAGAACATGGCCATTTTGCGTGATTATTAAAGGGTAAAATTCAAGACAATGAGCTGGGAAAAATTCTGCTATATCTTCGCTATATAAAGCAAGATTGTATTTATGTTCATATTATAAAGCGATAGTACATTTGCTGAACCTCTACAGCTATGCCTGACTCGCTACGGCAAGGTCCTACAGAAGGTGTAGCGTCCACACATATACTATGTTACATATATTTGCGACCTGCTACAGAGCCATGGCAAGTGCCAATGACAACCTTTTTTTGATCGTACAGCTCTACATGGCAAGAATGAAATTAAAGGGCAATGGACAAAGCAGTTGGCATAGTATACAATCGTCATATGATGGAGAATCATTGCAGCGCATCATCGCAGACGTCATCCACAAACTCTAACACTCCGCATATGTGCCACCAACCATCATCCATATAACTAGAGAGCATCCTTTCTATCGAATAAATGGTGAAAGCAAATAATTGTACATTCAATGTAATTTGAACTTTTCTGTACATACTGCAAAATGACAAAGGACTTGGTAAGCGTCGCCGTCGGGGACTAGTATTCCGAGGCATGGCACAGTTCTCACTGGCTACAGACCTTCGATGTCCATTTCGACAACGAGCTCGCGCACGAGTACTACGGGGACGGGGAAGAGCTTGCGAAGAAGTATAGATGCTAGCGGCCGTGCAGTGCAACAGCTAATAAGGATTGCAGACTTCGCGAGATATACCACGATCGCAACCTCAAGTTCCCAGATTTCTTCGATTCCACATTGACCAGTCCGCCTGTACATTTCCTGACGTATGATTCGTTTCTTATGTTAAGTTCATGAGCAGGAGAAGCTGATTCTGTTGCTGCAGCGTCGAAGCACCGGACGATGTGAAGATTGAGGAACTGCAGAATGTGGAAGTGCCACCAGGACTGCATGTTGATATTATTGACTTCCATATGGAATAGCCAGTTGCCGAGTTGGGGCCGGTACAGAGTAAATATACCTAATTAATATTCTCAGTATAACATGGGAGATTTGTTATTGGCGAGTTCTACTTTTAGAGTTTGTGGAGATCATTGCCTAAAGGATTCCTCTTGGGCTGCCCATTCTCATGGCGGACACCTATGCCGTCGTAGATACCATACACGAGCGTAGCCACGGCCAACGCAAAGTCTATCCAGCGATTTGGGAAGTAACCTAAGCATGGCTGGCAAATCAACCAGTGACACAACCAAGTGGTCCCAATGATTCAGCCTCAACGGTGGAGCGGCAGACGGACCAGCAGTCAGCACTAGTCCATCGACCTCAGCCAGGAAGCCATGGGGCGCCTGACTTGAAACTTATTCTCTGTTCTCTGTTAGATGCCATGACAGACTTCGAGCCTTCAGCCCATACGGAGCTGAACCTAGTGCTTACTGCTCATATGTTGTCGCACAGACGTTAGGCCGCAGCACGTGTTCTAAATGGAAAGCAAAGCTCGATAACCAGAGAATAATTTCTATAAGTAGGGACCTCCCTTTGATGGACTGTACCCGAACTACCGTAGCCCAACAGCAACAATCAGCATCATGTCACGAGTAATCGACAAGCTGGCTGCGCCAGCGGAGAAGAAAAAGACCAAGGTCATCATCGCCAGTTGTAGCCGGTAAGACATACCTGATTACCATTCGTGTGGACTACCACATGTCGCTGAAGCAACCTCCAGAACTGGGACGCTTGGCCTCTACTTTGCCATGAAGATACTGGGCTACAAGCCCTACCACATGTACGAAGTGGTACTAGTGCAGGGCAAACCAGGCATCGCAGCCCTCCTAGAAGCCGTAACCGCGCAGCATAATCGGCTCTCAGGCATCAAACGATTCGACAAGACTGATCTGGACAAGTTGACTGCCGACTATGATGTACGTGTCTACCTGATTTGCGCTTTGGATGCTTATCAGACAGCAGTGCCTTGTTGAGATCCCGAGTTTTCTAAGCTCAGCCCTCCTGGACGAGTACGCACAGGACCCCGAAGTCAAGTTCATCCTCACGGAGCGGGACCCCGATCGGTGGGCCAAGTCGATCAACGGAACGGCGGGCTTTATCGTCAATGCGGCGGCTTCGTTTCCATTGAACGTTCTCAAGCATTTCGACGAGGAATTAGGCATCTTTCTGAGTCTCAACACGACCGTTTACGGCGCCTGGGCTGACGGCACAGAGCCGGGCCAGCCGGGGAATGAGGCTGCTCTCAGGAGGAACTATGTTGAGTAGTAAGTGCCCTGAGCATGGCTATGTGGCAGAAGAGTCTGACACGCAACTACAGCATCAAGGCCGTCAAAAATACGGTTCCTAAAGAGCGTCTTCTGGTCGTCAAGCTTGAAGATGGGCTGGGATGGGAGCAGATTTGCCCGTTCCTGGCAGTGCCCATCCCAGAAGAGGAATATCCGCGCGGCAACGACGTCAATAGTTTCCAGGCCATGGCGCAGGGCTACTTTAAGGTGAGAACCAGAGCCGCTATGCTCAGGTTGGGGGCGCTACTTATGCCTGCGTTGGCTGTGTCTGGCTACCTTGGATGGAAATATTTCCGTAAATGGCCATAGTCTTCATAAGACTGCCATAGTATCACTATACTATTCTCGTTTAGCTAGACCTATGGTCCCTCTGTGGATGAATGAAGCTTTTTTCGATGACAGCACACCACTCTTCAATGTTGTCAGAGTGTATGAGACCACGCCTTGTGGTCATGTCCAACTCGTCGTTCCACCAATGAGTAGCCTCACCGGAGAAGCAGGGTCGAAATCTTGTACCATCTTGGGTGCATTCTTCGAGCGTGCGGCTACACGAAAACGGTTGGCGAACGCATACGCGGATCGATAGTATGTCTTATCCTCCTGATCAACCCTTTCCCCGTATCGCCATGTCGTCGTTAACGGTGCAGGTGATTATTATCCAAGTCTGGTCACCTTGGTTGGAAATATTTTGTCAAATGGCCATAGTTACTTGGAAACTGCCAGTATCACTATACTATTCGTGTTTGGCTAGTCTTCAGTCATGCAGGGCTATAGCCCCTCTTTACCATTTCAATCTGGGCTACGGCGCGCAGTCTATCAATGTCCAGATAAAGAATATCTTCTGGACTAGCGCCAGGTCTGACCAACTGGCCAAAAAGCATCCGTCGCGTTACTGTTATTGCCTGACTACCTGGCTGGATGCCCGGTGGGACCGGGAAGATTTCCTTCTTTCGTCGTTAGCCAGCTAAACACACCGACGATGGATAAGATATCCGCACTTCTCTTTGCTGAAGCCGAGGCATGCCACTTCTGTCTAGGGCGTAAAGCTCCACGAGACCGCGGACACGGCGGGTTGTCCGGCTCGGGGTCCATTTTATGATGATGACAGCTTGGACTGCGCCATTTCCTCCCACGAGCCATACTCCTGCGAATTCTCGAAGTTCGTCGAGAGATTCACTCCACCCGCTCTCAACGACAATTCTGGGCATGATGGCGTTTGGCACGTTGAATGCTACATTGGGTGACTTCTGAATGCGAACAAATGGCCCATCGGGGAATACATAATCTTCTAGCAATTAGAACTGCATGAGAGGGAACGAACGGAGGTGCATCGCCTTACCGGAATCTGCTGTGACGTGCAGCATGCGGGACTGATTCCGAGTGAGTTGCCCGGAGAGAAGCCATTCGGTGTGGCTTTGGTGGCACCAAACCTGGTCGGCGTTGTGCAGAAATAACGGCATTGCTACAACTCGGAGGATCAGACTGAAAGGGCTATAACTCTTGCTAACAGAAAGAAAAATGTTATTCGCTTTATCGTTCTTCCATGCTATTACATCGACGATACTCGCTTACCAGAAGCCAGCTTTGGCCCGCTCAAGTGCATCCCCCACATTCGCCATCCAGGAAGGAGCGATGTTGTCGTAAACCAGCTCGGCGTAGATAACATCTCTTCTTGTAGCTCTTGCCTCGGAGATCTTCTCTACCAAGTGATTGTGGAAAGACTGTTCGTCAGTTAATTCCGAGCCGGAATACCGGAGGATCAAATAGTCAGGGCTCGTTGCCATTTTGCAGAACTCGAACTGGAGAACAAATTTGTTAAGGAAAGGAAATTACGTGAATGGTGCCTCTGATAAGCGCTAGATATGATGTAGACATGGGTCACGCTGCCTCTCCGAGAACCATGGACGGCTGCCAGTCACCGAATAACGCTAAGCTCTTCATTACCTTCCTAGGACTTGCTCATGCTGTGTCCCCTAATCATCAGATCGCTGCAACAATCGCCATAGCCGCCACACCACCAACAACCCAGTTAGCATGACCCGTCATCTGCGCCGCAGCGGCGTTTGTGCTTTTGCTGACCGCAGCCGTGTCCTTTCCCGTCTCCCCCGCCGCCGTTGAAGCGCCCGTAGTAGTCGTCACCCTCGTGGACCCTGTAGCCGTGGCAGTTCCAGCAGTTGTAGATGCCTGAGCAGTAGCCGAGATACTAGCAATCTCGGTCCCTGTGATGGTCAGCGTCTGGTACATATCCTCCACAGGCCCGATAGTAGCCATAGCCATGACGCTAGTAGATGAGCCGTAGGTCATGGTCACACCACAAGAGACGGATGTGGAGTCACTGATTGCGCAGTCCTCGGCCATAGTACTATCCCCTGGTCAGCCTTATACGGAAGAGGCGAATAGTGCCAAGTTAATATATGTAGGCATATACCATGAAAGGACTTACTACTGAGGATATTCGAACACCCCGCGGAAGGTGGAAGGTCCATGGACGATGGTAAACCCGCCGGATGAGGCGGCACAGTCGCCGATCTCGAAAAAATTCGGATTCTTAGGTTTGGGATTGCAGTTGATTACGTAGGTGGTCAAGGGACCGTCCTAGATATAGGGGTTACCATCTGGCGGCGGGGTTCAATGTATCCTGTTACTCTTTGAAGAGGCATGCGATACCAAAGCTGGACGAAATAACATACAGTACCGATGACCTTTCCTACGAGGGAAGGAGAGTTGAACTCGGGCAGGAAAAGAGTGACGACCTCTTCAGCAACTACCCCGGTGGCAATTGAAGCCAGGAAGGTAAGAGAAAGGATACTTTGGGGATGCATCTTGCTAATGAATCGAAGATTTGTGATGGTATAGTGAAGCTGAATAGAGAATGAAGGGGTGAGCTCTTCGAGAGATTTCAGTATATCGAAGATTGCACGGACTAAAGACTTGCAGACGACCAGCGGTAGGACTACAGTAATGAGCGACTGTGAATGAGAAAAGATGGCCAAAAGGTCTAAAATAATGCCGCAAATGTGCGGGCCACGCCGTTTTAATATAGCGAGTCCGTCTCATTTTCGATGAACAGGGGCTCCCAGCAATTGGCTAGCTTCTTCGCCAGCTAGCGGCGACACTAGACAAGTTAAGTCACAGTCTAGGGGCCTCGCCAGCAGGTGGTTGTTCACGAGTGGCCAGATTGTCGGCTACCCTGTCAGTTAACCTCCTAGTCCTCGAGTTACATTGTAAAGATGGCCCACCTTGCCTAATATGGCAGCAAACAAATATAAAAGCAGACTATCATTGGAGAAGACCGCACTCAAGCTTGCCTTAGTGACTTTGATAGTAGATCTCATCACCTCAACCAATTGGGTAGCCCAGTTAATCGCCTTGTGGACTTCGCCATCCATCACTTAGCAAGCCAAAGGCCCCAGCCTTTCGTTTGGATAATTCAGATCTGGTGTTTTCTGATGACGGATACAATACCGGGCCTATTTTGTTGTAGAATATAATGCCTTAAAAGTTGTTGATGGCCTTGCATACTTAAGTCGGGCAGAAACCAAACGAGTCCAGGTTTTCATCAATCTTCAGTAAAGATGACACGAAATGGTCATCTAGACTCCTGTCGAATGAGGGTACCTTCCATAGTGCTTGTGAAGGTTCACAGAGCAGTGATACTCAAGAGGCATGGTAATGGCACACAATACAACGGTTAAAGGAAAACACTGGATATGAAGGAACATTTTCTTGTTTTCGCTCGTTGGGCGAAATATATATCTAATCTATCTCGCTAGATGCCGAAACATCGCAAAATGCAGAGACTCAGGAATAGTTGATTGATCCCGAAGATAGACTTTTCCACACGAGGTCGATATTTGCAACAGCTGCTATCTGTGGCGACAGTACACTAGCAAGGATAGTTAATTTTGCTTGCATTGTGATTTAGATAGCGAGCCAATTGCGACTTCCTCCAGTGCGAACGGCCACACCTGACAGCTGTCACCAGAGCTTCCGCGTTGACTATACCAGAGTCAGCGAGTTCCTCTACATTCCAGCACAAGACTTACTTTCAGCTCCTGGCCAGCTTGTATGCGTATAGTCATTTAGCGGGTAATAGGGCATGGTAGCATTGACCGAACCGAAAGCCTGCCAGCGATTCGCCGCATATTTCGTGTGATCGATATACTCCACCCCTTCTTCCTCGGCCACCTGTACGTCGCTTAGTTATAACTACCCTGCACGATTACCCTATATCGACTATCACATACCTCACGCGCATAATCTGCAAAAGGCCAGTCACGTCGAAGGACATCCCCCGTCCAGGACATAACCGGGACCATCCCACTCAGCATCGGAACACCACCAGCCTGCCGCACATCACTGATCATTTTCCGGAGGTAGTGGCCAAATGTGTACACCGTTTCTGTTGTGCCTCCCGTGGCATTACTAGCCACGACGACGCTGTCGGGTCCGATACCGGGGAGTGTAGCTCGATTCTTTACGTCAGTCCTCGGGTCACCGTTGTCGTTGTGGCCCATCTCGATGAGGACGAATGTGCCTTCGCCGGGGACGATGCGCTCAAGCAGCGACGCCCAGAGCCCTTCGTTGATGAAGGAGCGGGTGCTGCGCCCTCCGCGCGCGAGATTGGTGATGTTCAGGTCGAAGAAGTTGTGCATATAGTAGCCCCATCTATAGAGTCAGTACATTGTTTGTCTTATTGGAAGGCGAGTCTACCCTTGGATTAAACTGCTTTTGCCATATGGCATAGTCGTACTATCGGAACAGAGGAGGATCTGGCGCTGGGGACGCGCAGTGGGTGCCGCATTGCTCGTGGACGCTAGGCCTGCCATCACTATGGATGCATAGAAGAAGGAGCTGAAGCTTCTCATGTTTATTCAACTTTTGCTCGAATTCCGATCCTTACACAATAGCGTCAGAGATGTTTATGCCTCCGACGAAAATCTAGGCCTAAGCCGGAAGATATATGTCTGGACGATTCAGTAAGCGACGACCACCCCCTCACACTATTTGCAGCGTTCCCATTGATCTTGTAGGTGCTCCCTTGGTCCGGTGGGCGTGAATCTATGACGAAGATATCTTCCACCGACGGATCTTGGTTCCCCTCTATTGGAGTTACTCAGCGCGGGGTCCCCGGAGCATCGCAAGTAAGCTCGTTCATCAAAGTCCGGGGTAACTCAACCTAGAATAAACCTCCGTATCAATCATGTCGGTACTATTATTATCGCGGGGCTCGCTAATCGATCTTCTGGCATAATGCGGGGCATCCGGTGTTGGCAAATCCCACCAATCTGTGACTATAGTCGATACGGGTTCGGGGTAAAAGGGGCCGAGATAGGATCAGGTCTCGGCATCCTTTGTCTATTGATGTGCGGTGTACATGATAGTAAATCTTCTGTGCATGATGAGAGTATTATGACTGAATGTATGTAGATGTTGTTGGAACTTTGTTCCGCAATCACGCAAATAAACAGCAAGCTTGATACTGCAGATGAATCATGGTCTCATTTAGTAAACGTGGCATCTATATGCAAGAGTCTGACTATAGAAGATGCCTCAACGGTTTCAGCGCAGGCTCAGCCACTAGTTTCCCTGCTATCAGCGCCCGGTCGTTAGGATCATAAACCGGCTCCTTTGTAACCGTAGCCATGATCCTCCTCCCGAAATATTCCACCTCCACCCTTTGGCCCTCTTGAATCGATGCAGGAAGCCAAGCATACGCGATAGGTTTGCGAATCGTATATCCAAACGCAGCAGTAGTGACATATCCCACAGCCTTGTTCTTCCAAAACACGGGCTCCTTACCCATCACCATCGACCGTCCATCATCGACTGTCAAACACTGCAGTCGACGGGCAGGCTGTCTCCTTGCGAGCCGCTGCACCGCAGCCTTACCCAAGTAGTCTTCCCGTTTATCCACCTGCACCGCGTGGCCCACCCCCGCTTCGAAGGGATCATGCTCGCTGTTCATGTCAACCCCCCAGGTCCTGTACCCCTTCTCTAGCCGCAAAGCATTGAGGGCTGCTCGTCCAGCGGCAATGAGACCGTGCGGTTGGCCCGCAGCCCATATGGCATCCCACAGGCGCAGTCCGTATTCAGCGCTCGTCTGTATTTCCCATCCGCTCTCACCAACATAGGACTTGCGGAGGACAGTGACAGGGAGGCCGGCGAGGATTGCGCTCTTAGCATGCATATATGGCAGCCCGGTATTTGAAAGGTCGTCTGTCGTTAGCGTCCGGATGACATCGTGGGCTCGAGGGCCCCAAAGGCCAAGACAGCAGGTGTGTCCCGTCACCTCGCGCACCTGGACCCATTGCGTTGGAGACTTCTGGCACTGTCGTCGAGCTTCACGGGAGAGATACGCAAAGTCGGTCGCGCTGTTCGCGCCAATTTGGAACAGGTCCTCGCCGAGCCTCGTCACGAAAACATCGCTGCGAATGCCACCCCGCTTGTTCAACAGCAGCGTATAAGCTATCTGTCCTACTGCCGGAACAGCGCTCGTTATTAACCGGCATAGCAACTCCCTCCCCCCAGGCCCAGACACCTCAAATCGATGGAAAGAGGTCATATCGTACATCGCCACCGCGTTGCGCGTCTTCCACGCCTCAACCGCCACAACAGGGGAATGGTACCTCGCGGACCAGGCATCCCTCTCCAGAGGCCGCCATTCAGCCGGAAGAAACCGCACAAGCTTCTCATTAGCGCCATACCAGAACGGCCTCTCCCAACCACCCAGCTCAAGGAAGACCGCGCCGAGGTCCTTCTCGCGCGCGTAGAACGAACTCAAACGCAGCTGCCGCGGTGACTCGCGCGGCTGCAGCGGATGCAGGATATCGTAGATTTCGACAAAGTTCTGTGATGAGGTTTCGGTCACGTATTCACGGCTCATCTGCACGTCCTCGAAGCGGGAGAGCTCGCACTCGGATAGGTCGGTGGTCGATGAACCCTCCGTCAGCAGTTCGGCTAGTGCGCGCGCCACGCCAGCCGAGTGCGTCACCCACACTGCCTCGGCGACGTAGAAGTTGTCCAGACTTGGGGCGGGCCCAACTAGCGGTCCGCCGTCGGGTGTAAATGAGAAGATGCCGTTGAAGCCGTCGGCGAGCTGGCATTGCTGCAGCGCCGGGAGAAGTCTCTGCGTTTCGGTCCAGGCTGGAGCGAAGTCTTCGGCTGTGAAGTTCAGCCTGGAGGGCATGGTTTTCTCGTCGACGTGGTGCGGGGTATGCCCGAGCGAGGCGGCCTCGATGGGCATTGGCCGGTGGCCGTAGTAGCCGATGCCGTAGGCGTCGCCGTGCTCGCGGTAGTAAAGGTCGTGGTCCTGGTGGCGGAGGATGGGGAATGTGGCGTTCAGGCCGTTCGACCGGTGGTTGATGTCGCGGCCTGCCAGGGCCCGGACGGGTGTGGTTTTGGCGTACTGGTGCGCGAGAGGCAGCAGGGGGATTGACACGCCGGCCATGGCACCCACTTCGACGCCCCAGAATCCTGCGCAGGAGACAACGATATCCGCGCTGATGACTCTTCGGGAGGTGATCACGCCGGTGACACGGGTCCCGGACTTTTGGATACCGGTGACCGGCGTCATTTCTAGATAGCGCACGCCTGCCTGCCGCGTCCGTTCGATCAGTAGCTGTGTGGCCCGCGCTGCGAGCGCCAGCCCATCACTGGGGATATGCAATCCCCCGAGCACAATTTCCTCGTTCAGAAGCGGATACATCTTCAAGCATTCCGCAGGACTAACGAGCCGCGCCTCTATTCCCCATGCGGACGCATAGCCATGCTTCCGCTTCAGCTCCTGAAGTCTCTCCGGTGTGGTGGCGACCTCCAAGCCACCGACCTGATTGAAGCAGTGTTGCCCATCTTTCTCGAGAGAAAGCAATTTCTCAACCGTGTACTGTGCGAAACGGGTCATAGTCTTGGACGGATTGGTTTGAAAGACTAGGCCGGGAGCATGCGACGTCGAGCCACCGGGCATCTGCAGCGGGCCCTGCTCGACGACGGTGATGTTGGTCCATCCTCTAGAGACCAGCTCATCGGCGAGGTTCGCGCCGACAATACCAGCGCCGATGATGACGATGTGTGGTAAGGGTGCCATGTTGGTGCATTGAGTGCCAGTTATTGACTCTACATGGTCATACTTGTATGTACATGATTGTGTATATTCATCTGTGACTACCCCGCAACTAGATAACGAACTCCGTGCAGTGTGATGGTCATGATGGACGAACCGTAGGATGCGGCAAAGGCAACCGTACCAACCGGCCAGATGATCGGCCATGGAACGGCAGCCGGGATCCAGCCAAGAGGGGTAAAAATAGCGTCTTGCCTGTCCTATCTAATCATTTTCGTCATTGAAACGTCTGCATGTGGGGTTGAGAGGGGAAAAGTTTGCCGGTTCGGGAATGGCATTCCTCTGCTTGTACGTCGCATTTTTACTGGTTCGTCTATGCTATTTTTGTCCACCCACTGACTGGTTCCTCTAGTCCACTTCAATATGTACGCCAGAGTCAATGCCTGCAGGAGTGGTTATACAATGGTCTGTATTCTTTATTCCACACACCTGGCACTGTCACTTTTCGACCTCATTTTGGTCACCGACTTAGGATTCATGCGTCGATATGGCGTTCCTATCGGCTTCAGAGTCATCGGCCGCAGATGAACGTAAATGAAGCTGATTCCGCAGGTTTAAACGGCGTGGCAATAACGGCAAAAGCTTGATCCTAAATACCGAGCCTTAGCTATACAATCTGCGTTGGGGCTCAACGTAACGATGGGGACTCATGAATTGCTTTGGCTATCAAGGCGGGCAGAGGCAGTCGCTTTGGGAGTCATCCGATTAGTCGTTGCATTCGTAGTATCGCAGGAATGCTTCGAGTGTTGCTCTGTGCTGCGGAAAGATCAATTCATGTCGCACGGGAGAGACTCGCTGGGTACAGTGGTGCGTTCGTGGCTTGATGGCTATTCTGCAGGTCGCGTATCGGCAGGCTCATTAGTCCTAGTCCTGGAATATAAGCAGTGCACAATCTGAGGATCATGGAGTCATCAATCACAACTTCATAACGCTTAGCGCTTGCATTCAGGTTATAAATTTCCCAAATTCCACCACGCCGAACCCTCAATGTCGCCTACCGCCGGAGCTGATGTGCTATAGTCGAGATCATCCACGTCTCCAAATGGTGCCGGATCAGCCCAGAGCCAGGGCGTGTTGAGCATGAGGCTGTCGATGGGAGCTACCACTGCGTCTGAAGGAGGCATAGACCGTGGAGCTGTGGCTGGGCTCGTGTCGCCGTCCTTTGACGAGTTCGGGGCCCGATACAGAGGCATAGGTACGCCCTGGCCGCCGTCTGCGGTGTTGACGGTAACTTCAGGCGAAGCTGTCACGATGATTTCGAGTGTAGAGGATTCCTCTGCGTCATTTCTGGTTGCAGAAGCACTGAGCGAGGAATGCAAGAGGCTTCCTGATGGGACAGCGGGATAGGAATCGTCGCTGCAGGTAAACTGGAGGATATCCCACATCAAGGGGATATTCAGATGAATCTTGGATGGCACCCAGCTGTCGTAGTCTACGTTCTCTGTGCCGGCTGCAATCCGGGTCATGCGGTCGAGTGATCGGTTCTGATCTGTCAGTTGTGCTTGATTATCTGCAACAGGAAACATACCAATAATGCGCACGCCCGTGAAAACGGAACAAACGACCGCAAAAACACCCTGCAGCGGGCTAGATCCGCCCGGGACTTGTACTTCAGTCTGGGGTCTCCAGCACAGCAGTAATATAGCTGAACCGTCGCGGCGATAGCAGCCACATGCGCGAAGAAGGGATCGGTCAGTCGTACGTCCT